TTGGTCCTGCATTGCGGTAAAAAAGAAAAGCAGCTGAGGGAGTCTTTATATATATAGTATATTTATTTGACACATGAACCATGCCAGAAGCCTGCAACAAGTACTCATGATCTATCAGATCCGCCATCTTGGCTTGGATGCATCGTTGAGTTTGCTCACAAGAAAAGGTGTTTGACAGGTCGGTTGATCTTTGGACCGTGAGAGCATGTGAGAACCACTGGCGATGAGTGGATTGCCTGGAACAAGGCACGTCCGTCCTGGTTGCCAGGCACGCCCGATGTTGCTGAGAAGGCGGCACGCTTGAAGGAGCGCTACGCCAGGTGCGGGCGGACGACGTTTCGACGACTTGCGCACGGCTTGTTGAGAAATGTGGCACGGCTGCGCACGGCTGCGCACGGCTGGAGAATTGATGTGAAGGTTCGTGAGGTTCCAGTCTTAAGCTTCTATTTTGAACTTCACTTTGAACAAACGTGCGGTGGGAAGTCTTCCAAGACGTTGTAGTGATTCTTGGTGCTCCTTTTGTTGGGTTGATCACCTGACTTGGACCCTGACGCTTCCCAGGGCCTTCAAGCGCTTCCATGTGACGAAGCATCCCAAGCAGTGGGCCGGCGGCCGCGAGATCCGAGGGAAGTGCTCGAACGCCAACTACACCATGCGCGCCGTGCTTTGGGCGGCAGTCGGTTTGGGGGGACAGGTCCCGGACTCAAACGGATGTGCCAGGTGACCGAGCTCCGTTTGAGCCGCCGGAATTGCACGAAAGCCGAGAGGGTGAAGAGTCGCCTGGTCGAATGCCACGGAAGGCGGGTGTGCGTGGTCTTTTTTGGTTGTTTTCTCCGAGGTTCTCCGCCCAGAGAACCTGCGGCCTGAACAAAACAGGATCACAAAAGGACCAATTGGACGGGAGGGTCCTGTTGTGGGTTTGAATGGTTTGACCTTGTTTGACCTAAGCACTGAAAGCTCTCAGTGTTTTCCATCCACAAGGCTTTCTTCCAAGAGTTTCTGCCAACGAATCTCCACAGTCGGGGCCAGGAACCTTGCTTTCACATGGTTCTCTTTGCCTTTGACGACCGAAGTGGAAGACAATGTATAAAAATATAATATTAATGAGTTCTCCATTTGGCATTGCTTCCGGTCAAAGAAAATAGAAACCATGAAGAGGATTAATTTTGGTTTCTTAAGGTGATCATGGGCTTATCTCTTCTCTTTTGAAATGAATCCCAGAAGAGTCAGGCAAGTTTCACTCTTCGGATGTGAAGGCCTATCTCGCTCTTGCTCTTAGGCCGTGACACGCCTGGAGGAGTACGGCGATCTGGATTTGAGCTGTACCTTGGACTTTGGGGCCTTTGTCCAGGGAAGTGGCCTCCAACTGCCTCAGAAAGGGACTTATATATTAACCATCCCGGACACCTTGCCATAGGGTGTGCAACACTTGGGGCAGACATCGTGAGAAATCGCAGGGCCTGCGACCCAGAGGTGGCACAGATGCGGATTGAACCAACATCTAGTGGTTTGGGCATGCCCCACCCCCCCCGCGGTTGGTTCAGTATAGAATCCGAGGTTCCGGAAGCAACACCCCCTGAGCATGTCTTTTTTCGGTCGGCCCCTCACTGCGATGGTGCATCAAAACGGGAGCAAAAGTGAACCCTTTGGAGATTCTTGGAGTGCATTGAGCTGGCCAGAGAATGACTGCCCCAGAGAATGGAGGTAGCATTAAGTCTTCAAAGATCTTCAAAGCAACAAAGCCCGTCACATCCGATCAGCCTTGAAACCCGGACTTTTGATGTTTCCTCCGGGTTGACATGGCTTGAAAGGACTGTGATCCGACTCCTTCGCGCTTTGCGCGTAGAAAGGCGACACGTTCTGAGGCACCACCGCTACCAGCTGTGACACAGATTCCATTTTTGCCCCTCGCTACTTCGAGAATCTGGGCTATCAGCTGCCTGGAGTCGAGGCTTTTTCTTTGACTTGGCTTAGGCGATTTCAATTGATTTCTGTGCTCCGTATGGTTGAATCGATGCCTGTGATTCCATGCATTCAATTTAATTATCTAATTTATATGTATATATATAAGTGTATATATATATATATGTCAACACTTTAAACAAATCCAAGTTTGGGATTGGCCCCCACTTTCGTTCGACTAGACCAAAAATTGCAGGTGGCTACTAGACCAACTCCGACACCGGCGACCCACACGGTAGTATACCCTCCTGTTAGTGGAAGAGAACGGTCTTCGAACTGGCCATATTCCACTTCCCTTCCATGTTTGTTATAGGGAGGGCAGTTGTTCTTGTGTTTTCTCCTTTGTTAGTGCATCCGGGGTTGGCCACATGGTGGTTCAAAGAAGATGGCATGGTCCAGCTCCGCTGGTTGGGGGGCTTTCCACTTCTATTTTTTGAGCTGAATGTGAAGCTGTGGAGAGGTTAACCTCGAGGTCCATGAGTATGTGATTAGCTTGTTTGATGTGCTATTCCATGAACTTTTCGCATGGCTTCCACAGTTTTGTTGCTAAAGGAACGGCAACACTCCTTGTACTTGGTTCTAATGCACCTGCCTACGCCAGGTTCGAACGAGCTTGCTATTGGATCTTATTGGGTACTGATAGACTCTGATTCCCACTATCTATACTCACATGGGACGTGTTTGAAGGCCATGGTGGTCGTGTCCCGATGGCGGGACCGCCCTCGGGTCCACCGCAGGTCCATCTTTACGCCACAGGACGCCGGACTGGGTGAGCTCCAGGTTTTGACCCCTCCCCATGTATGTCATATATATATATAATATATATATACAGTTTATAGGGGTTCGGTTTGTGCTATTACCTGTAATATCCTGTAACAGTTCGGTAGACGATTATCACATATTATC